GGCTCGGTGCGGGCTGCGCGCGGCTGCAGCGGGCTGCGCGCGGCTCGGTGCGGGCAGCGCGCGGCAGCAAGGGGCCTAACGGTCTGCAGGGGCTGTTCGCGGGCCTGAAGGGCGTGTAGGGGCGGCGCGTGGGCCTTACGGGCCTCTAGGGGCAGCGCGCTGGCCTAGGGCAGCAGGAGGCAGCGCTAGGGCTGCTGGACGGCGCGCATAGTGCAGCACGTCACAAGGCAAGGCAAGGCAGGCAGGTACGTGGGGTAGCGCGGTAACCGCAGCGGTAGATGGGCCCGAAAAAAAAAAACGGTCCTACGGACCTTAGTGCTCTGAAACCATGTTAGAATCTAGCAGCAGGAATGATGAACTAGCAGCAGGAATGATGAACTAGCAGCATGCAGGAGTACAAGTAGTAAACCCTAATTTGGGTTGTACCTCATATGGGCTACCCCACTACAGCCTAGACAATATGTAGCATATGTTTGACAGGCCCCTCGACGAGCCCTGATTGACGAGGTGCTTTTCGAAGAACCCGTCCTCTGTTCGACGAGCCCTGTTTGGCGAGTCCTGTCCTCTGATTGAAGGGCGCTGTTCGGCAAGCCTAGTCTCGGCGAACTGGTCGGCCGAATTCGTTCGACTGCGAAACTCTACGGGGGTGTGCGAATTTCGCCCAGGAGGTTTTGGTGAAGTCGACTTGCGAAACGGCATAATGTGCTTGACGGTGGACAACTGGCGACACGTTTTCTACCTGGCACCTGCGCAATGTGCCGCTGACAAGCTGCCCTGTTGCTGTCAGGGCCTCAGATTCCAGGAATTTTACCCTGATTTCCTTGATGTTTGACCCTGGTTTTTTATTCTAACCCTGATGAATCAGCCTTTTTGTTTTTACAACCCTGATGAATCAGTGTTTTTCTTTTCCTAATCCTGATTTTTCAGTGTTTCTAGTTTGACGACACTGACGAGTCAGTGTTTTATTGGAGACGACCATGAAACTGAAAACTCCGTGATTCTCGATGTTTTGCGCGCCGTCATCATTCATGTACCCACCGTGCACTGACACCACCATGCGGCTCGCCCAGATACAGCTGAACGGGGAAATTTTGTGCTGGGTAGGCAAAACGGCGCAAAGATATTGGCTGTCGAAGCTGATGCAAACGGCGCAAAGAGATTCGTTTTTTTCTAAGTTATTGTAATTGTGGCTGTAGATTCACTGATCAGTGTTTTCTTACAAGGCACCCTGTTTGATCAGTGTTTCTTTTTCAACAACCCTGAGAAATCAGTGTTTCTCCACAGGCAACCCTGATGATCAGTGTTACAGCCCCAAGGGACCCTGAGTGCTCAGGGTCACCCAAAACGAATCTGAGGCCCTGGTTGCTGTGCTGGCAGGCTGCCCTGCTGCAGCGTTAGCAAGCCGCTTTGCTGCTGCGCTGGAATTTCGCCTTGCATATGCTTGCTAGGTGTTGCAATGCCTGCCTTGCTATATCGTCTTGTATGCCTTATTGTATTCTTTTGTTCTTCTCAATTTCATGGTGAAACTCTTGCCAAATTTCTCTGAAACACAACAAGTAATGAGAGCGCTAGTAGAATGCTACGACCACCCGCACAACCCCATGCCCTCCCGGTAGTCCACTCCCATTGTACAGTGACTCTCCGCATGGTGTGGTGATCGTGGATTGAACACGAAACCTTTTGATTAGCTGACTTTTGCGCGCTCATTACCTGAGTCGTACCTTAGACAGCAATCGCGTAGACCATGTTAAAACCCATAGAAGCCGCAGACGTAGAGGGTACTTTGGTGGCACGGGAGGCCGGCGAGTACAGCGAGGCGAACTTGGAGATTTTGCTCCTAGAAACTTGTGCTCAGTGGGCGAGTGCGCATCCCCCTCCCTGTGTTAAAATGGACTGTGCGCCCGCCTCTTCCCGACCACGATACGACGAAGTTGATGGCGGCAAATTAGTCGTCGGTGGAACCAAGAGGGTGACTCGTAGAGTGATTCAGCTCGTCGACATCGGCGTCGGTGGAGTGCAGGTGCAAGTGCTGCGATCGATGGCGACCGCAGGCAACTCATACGACGACGTCGACGGTCGAAGCCTTTCTCCCCAGCGCCGACTTCGATGACTAATGTGTTGACTGGTCGAGATGGAGGCATCGCGCTGGCGTACAGCTACTTCAAGTTTTCACTGGACAAGATTGTTGTGCAGAAGTCGCTCGTAGGTCAACACGTCTTGATTATCTGGACGGAGTCCATCGAGCCTCAGCTGGACATCGCTAAAGGCCCGTTTTAGACTGTTTGAGGTAGTTGTGCACCCATACAGCTTGCCGAAGGGCGAGGAGCCACTAATGATGCTTCACACCCAAGTGAAACAACATCGTCTGAACAGCTTTGACGACTGTGCGCATCCCCCGATCTGCCATCCTGTTCTGCTGCAGTGTTTAGGGCCAAGTTAGGTCTTGTTTAATTACCTTGTGATTGACAAAATCCGTGAATTCCCTCCCCAGGAACTCGCTTTCGCAATCAAAGCGGAGCATCTTCAACGACTTCGTACTCTGGCGCTCCACCACCTCCATCCCCTTCTCAAACATCTCCAACATGTCACTCTTTTTGGCGATCGGACGGACCCACACAAAGCGGGTCTCCCGATCATTGAGCAGGAGGTCAATGTGCATAATGTCGAGAGCGTTCTTGGCTTTCGATCCCTTCTCAAGGAAAGTGTGCAAAACCATCTTTCCGCCGACACAGGAGACAAACGGCAGGTCAGCACTGGTCGACGACTTGATATTCAAATAGGCAACTGTGCCACGCATCGACATGCGTTAGATCATTTCGATGGCGCTAGTCAAGAATGCTAGATGTCCGGCGTTGACTTTGTTGACGAGGCGAGGTGATCGTATGTAGTGTCACCGTTTCTGTCTAAGCCATCTTCGACGGGTGATGGCGACAGTCAATGCAGCGTGCTTGACCGAGAACCTCTCCCGAAGCCGACACAAGCAGAATCTCGTAACTGTCGTCCTGCAGCTTCACATCACTGTCCTTCCGCTGGACGGTAGACAGCAGGTTCGCCTTTACGCCCGAAATGTACAAAACGCCAGGGATGAGAATCGGCTTCTTGGCCTCCCATTGCAGCGTAACCATGCCACGATCTTCGATGATTTGAATTGTTCTCTTGAAAGTGCGCACGTGGCTGACGTCGCCTCCTGACTTCATCGAGAAAAAGAATTCTCGTGTTACCATCAAGTGATGGGAGTAGCCGATGTCAAAGAGCACCACGGCTAGGTTCGTCTGCAAAGCGCAACGACTGCCTGGAATTCCTTACTAGCATCCGCTGCCACGAAAATGGTGGGTCGACCACCCCAACCATCAAACCTGAGGCTGTACCATTGCTCGAAGCACCGGCATCCATCGTCGAAGTCGTTTTCAACGCCAGCTTTACTTGCGCAGCTGGTTGTCTCGCCGATAACGGTCGGCATCTGTCTTCCTGCGGCCGGTCTCCTGCTCATTGTCAGACTCCTTGTGGTCGGGGCAACCACACAGAAGGTGGTCAGGGTCTCCACCAACGTAGCAGTGATGCCTATGTTAGCGTTTGCCTCCGCCACCACGATTGTTGTCCCTCTTAGTGGTCGACAGTGCTTGTCGACTTGCTGCTTGACTGTCAAACATTGCATGTTTATGTTGTGTAGGCTGTAGTGGGTTTGACCTTAGGGGGTACACAAAGTTAGGGTTTCCTACTTGTACCCACCTTGCTGTTAGTTCATTCATTCCTGCTTCAGTTATTCTGACATGGTTTCAGAGCAGGTCCTTCGCTAGGACCTAAGTTTTTTTTCGGGCCCACCACTACTGACTGTCTACTAGCGCCCTCGTGCGCCCTACTGTCGGAGCGCGCCTTAGCGCCTCCCCCCAGCGCCCTCGCGCGCTTCTCTTTTTTTTTTTTTCTCGGCCCCGCTGGCCCCGTCGACCCCGCGCGCGCCCCGCTTAGAGGCCCCGCTGGCCCTGTCGACAGCACGCGCGCCCCGCTTAGAGGCCCCGCTGGCCCCGTCGACCCCGCTCGCGACCCGCCTAAGGCCCCCCCGGCCCCGTCGACCAAGCGCGCGCCCCGCCTAGAGGCCCCGCCGGCCCCGTCGACCCCGCGCGCGCCCCGCCTAGAGGCCCCGCCGGCCCCGTCGACCCCGCTCGCGACCCGTCTAGAGGCCCCGCCGGCCCCGTCGTCCCCGCTCGCGACCCGCCTAGAGGCCCCGCAGGCCCCGTCGACCCCGCTCGCGCCCCGCCTAGAGGCCCCGCCGGCCCCGTCGACCCCGCTCGCGACCCGCCTAGAGGCCCCGCCGGCCCCGTCGACCCCGCTCGCGCCCCGCGTAGAGGCCACGCCGGCCCCGTCGACCCCACTCGCGATCCGCCTAGAGGCCCCGCCGGCCCCGTCGACCTAGCGTGCGCCGCCCCTTAGCGGCCCCGTCGATACTACCTGCCGCCCCTTAACGCCCCGCACGCGACAGCCACGGCCCCGCCAGAAACGAGCCGCCCTACCTGAGTCGCGCTGCCTACTGCTTTTAGGGTGCACCTACTGCTACTACTGCTGCTACTATGGCTAGTCCTCCTGTGCTAGCTTTCGATGCCGAGGGCCGCCCAGTGAAATTTGACACCTGGCTAGATGACCTGCACCTCTTCCTACAGCTCACTGCCAAGGAGGACGTCTCACTGTACGATCATGCCCTCGGCCATGCTACTGCCCCTCCTACTACTGCTGACAGCACTGCCCGCTCACAGTGGCAGACTCGTGACGCCCACGCTCGCTTTGCTATTCGCAACTCCCTGCCGATAGATGAGCGCGAGCACTTTGGCCAGCATAAGACTGCTAAGGAACTGTACACTGCTGTCGTTGCTCGCTACTCCTCACCTGCTTCTGCCGCACTAGGCCGCCTCTCACTCCCCTACCTGTTCCCTGACCTGGCCTCCTTTCACACAGTTGCTGACCTCATCACCCACCTCAAGACTAGTGAGGCCCGCTTCCGTGCTGCTATGCCCGATGAGTTCCTTGCTAGGAACCCCCCCCCGCTCTGGCTCACTCTCTACCACATCGTCACCCGCCTCCCTGACTCTCTACGCGCAGTCAGGGATCACTTCCTAGCTCGCTGCCCCACTGAGCTCACCATTGCCCTCCTCGAGAAGGAACTCCTTGCAGCTGAGGCGAGCATCGTCGCTGTAGGTGCCTCTCGTGGCGACCCCCGCACCCCTTTCTTTGAGGGGTGTTCCCCTTCCCCCCTTCTTCCCTCTGTAGCCTCTGCTTCTGCTGTCGACCTCCTTGGTGCTGAGAAGGTCGGGACTGCGTCTGCTCCGAGCGGGCGCCGCAGGAACAGAGGGGGCAAGGGAGGCGGAGGTGGCGGCGGGGGAGGCGGGGGTGGAGGCGGTGGGAGTGGTGGTGGGGCTGGAGGGACTAGTGGCAGCGGTGGGGGTGGTGACGGCAGCGGCGGGGGCGGTGGCAGGGGCGGGGGCGGTGGCGGGGGCGGCGGTGGTCGCGGAGGCGGCAGGGGAGGGGGTGGTCGAGGAGGTGGCGGCGGCGGTGGTGGTCGTGGAGGCGCTGGCGGTGGCCAGAGCCAGCAGCACACTCCGTCGCTCCAGGAGGCCCGTGAGTGGTATTCGCAGCGCGGGGGGGCGGGTGGCTTTAGCTGCACGTACGTCATCCGCACTGGTGACCGCACTGGTCAGACGTGTGGGAGGCCGCACCCCACGCAGCGCTGTTTCTCTCGCCTTGACGACGCTTGGCGCACCCAGTTCCCTGATGCCACTGAACTGCCCCGCTGGGCTGATCTGATGAGGAAGGGAGTTGATATCTATGCACTAGACTTTGATGCTATTCTTACTGCCATGTATGTGATGTTTACTAGTGGAGAGGGTGCTCAGTACCTGCGTGTTCCGCCCGACCCGGGCATTCGGACCAGTGAGGCTGCCGCTCTAGGTGCTAGTGAGACTGCCACTCCAGGTACTCGCGTGTCTGCTACCTCAGGTGCTGGTGCGGCTGCTGCTCTAGGTGCTAGTGAGTCTGTGCCCCCTGGTACTGAGTCGACTGCGGCACTGCACACCTTCACACTGGACTCAGGTGCTTCTCGCTGTTTCTTTCGTGACCGCACTGTCCTTGAGCCACTCGCTCGGCCAGTTGCTGTCTCCCTCGCTGACCCCTCTGGGGGTCCGGTCATTGCGACCTCCTCCACTGTCCTTCCTTGTCCTGCGGTCCCGTCGGGCACACTGTCGGGTCTCCACCTCCCCTCGTTCTCTACGAACTTGGTGGCGGGTTGTGCGCTCCAGGACGGGGGTGTTCACCAGTTCACCCCTGCCTACGAGCGCGTGACACACTTCACGTGTGCTCGGACGGGCCGTCACCTGGCTACCTTCACTCGGCAGCCGGGGTCCGACCTGTACACACTGACCACTGAGTCCCCTCAGGTAGCTGCGTCTGCGTCTGCGTCTGCGTCAGGTCAGCTATCGGCCCCCTGCTCGTGTCGCTCTCTGGCGCACGAGACCGTCCTCTGGCACCACCGACTTGGTCACCCGTCTGTGCAGCGCCTTCGTGCCATGCACAAACGGTACCTTGTCTCTGGTCTTCCCAGGGTTCTCCCTCCCCTCCCACCCTCGCCTGCTCCTCCCTGTCTTCCCTGTGTCGAGGGGCGGCAGCGCGCCGCTCCTCACTCCTCGTTTCCCCCGACGACTGCTCCTTTGCAGACGCTCCACATGGACGTGTGGGGCCCAGCCCGCGTCCGTGGACAGGGTCAGGAGAGGTACTTCCTGATTGTTGTTGACGACTACTCGCGCTACACCACGGTCTTCCCCTTGCGCACCAAGGGTGAGGTCCCTGATGTCTTGATCCCTTGGATCAGCAGAGCTCGTCTCCAGCTCAGCGAGCGTTTCCGCTCGGACTTTCCTGTCCTACGTTTGCACTCTGACAGAGGTGGTGAGTTCTCCTCCGACCTCCTGGCAGCCTACTGTGCGGAGCACGGCATTGAGCAGTCGTTCACGCTTCCGGCCTCTCCGCAGCAGAATGGGGTTGCTGAGCGCCGCATTGGCCTGGTCATGGAGGTCGCTCGTACCTCCTTGGTCCATGCGGCTGCCCCCCACTTTCTGTGGCCGTTTGCGGTCCGATACGCTGCGCATCAGCTCAACCTCTGGCCCCGTGTCTCCTTGCCGGAGACTTCCCCGACACTGCGTTGGACGGGAGAGGTTGGCGATGCGTCACGTTTTCGGGTCTGGGGATCCCGAGCTTTTGTTCGCGATACGTCCGCGGACAAGCTCTCCGCTCGCGCTGTTCCCTGTGTCTTCCTTGGCTTTGTCCCGGACGGACTGGTTGGCAGTTTTACCACGCCACCTCGCGCCGTGTCCTGTCCTCTCAGGACGTCACTTTCGACGAGTCCGTCCCCTACTACCGCCTCTTCCCCTACCGCACTGCCCCGCTCCCCCCCCCGCCTCTCTTCCTCGCTTCAGGTGCTGCTGTACTAGACCCCCTCCCCCCTCAGGGTGCCGCTCCCTCAGGTGTGTCCCAGGTAGACCCGGTTGAGCCTGTCGAGGTAGCTGTCGACTCTCGTCCTGCTGGGGGTGCTGAGCCTGCGGGTGCTGAGCTTGAGGGTGCTAAGCCTGAGGGTACGGAGCCTGGGGGTGTGGAGCCTGGGGGTGCGGAGCCTGGGGGTGCGGAGTCTGGGGGTGCGGAGCCTGGGGGTGCGGAGTCTGGGGGTGCTGAGCCTGGAGGTGCTGAGCCTGGGGGTGCTGAGTCTGGGGGTGCTGAGTCTGGAGGTGCTGAGCCTGGGAGTGCTACACCTGGAGGAGCCCTCTCCTCGCAGCAGCTGCAGGAGAGGTACTTACAGTACTGTAGCCTCAGGAGAGGTACTAGTGCTTCCCCTCCTGGCCAGGAGCTCCCCTCCCTTCAGCGGATCCGAGAGTGGTACACGCGGCGCTGCAGCCTTCGGAGTGGCGCTCCTGGTGTCGCGGACCCTGGAGTTGGCGCTGTGACTGGTGCTGAGGACCCGGGCGTTGGAGCTGCTGCTGGTGCTGCCGACCCTGGAGTTGGCGCTGTGGCTGGTGCTGAGGACCCGGGCGTTGGAGCTGCTGCTGGTGCTGCCGACCCTGGAGTTGGCGCTGTGGCTGGTGCTGAGGACCCGGGCGTTGGAGCTGCTGCTGGTGCTGCCGACCCTGGAGTTGGCGCTGTGGCTGGTGCTGAGGACCCGGGCGTTGGAGCTGCTGCTGGTGCTGCCGACCCTGGAGTTGGCGCTGTGGCTGGTGCTGAGGACCCGGGCGTTGGAGCTGCTGCTGGTACTGCGGACCCTGGAGCTGGCACTGTGGCTGGTGCTGAGGACACGGGCGTTGGAGCTGCTGCTGGTGCTGCGGACCCTGGAGTTGGAGCTGCTGCTGGTGCTGAGGACCCTGCCGCTGGTGTCTCTGCTGGTTCTGGAGACGCTACGCGGCCGCGATTGTACTTCGTGCCGCTCCTTCAGCAGGTTCTTGGTCAGGCTCCTCCTCCTTGTCCTTCTCCCTCCTTAGAGTGTCCTCCACCTGTCCAGTCGCAGTCACAGTTACCGCCTGCCTCGCCTCTCCCTGGTCCTTCTCCTTACACTGGTCCCACAGGAGGTCTTACGGAGCGTCGTGAGCCTGAGTCTCGTCCTGTGTCACCTGCGTCTCGCTCTGCGTCACCTGTTAGTGCTGCTCGCACTGGTCGTCGTGTCCCACGTCAGCGTCCTCCTGCTGTCCCAGGCACTCACCAGATGGTGCTCCGTCGCTCCACTGCTCCCCAGCGTGTCCCTCTGCCATCTCCTACCGCGTCCTCTCTTCCTACTCTTCCTGACCCGGAGTCTGACTCCCATCGTGCTGCCAGTCCCACTGTCACGCGTCTCCTCGCCACTGTTGTCACTGACCCTACATTTGAGTCCTCTGCTGCGTCTGCTCTGGTCGCTGAGTTGGTTGACTTTGCTGCCCGGTGTCGTCTAGACTACGCCACTAGCCTTGTTGCTGAGTCTGAGTCTGTCTGTCCTCCGTCCGTCGGGGGTGAGTGTGTTCTTGGCACGGACGTCCTTGAGGACAGACAGGAGGAGTTCCAGTGCTTTGCTGCTGCTTTGCCCCATCTCGTGTCCATGCTAGTTGCCCCTGAGGGAGACCCGGATGCACCAAACATCCCGACTCCGCGCTCTTACGCAGAGGCGATGGCGGGTCCCTACTCCTCTCAGTGGCAGACAGTCATGGACGCAGAGATGGCTTCCTGGAAGTCCACAGGCACCTACGTCGACGAGGTTCCCCCACCTGGGGCGAACATCGTCAGTGGCATGTGAATTTTCAGGGTGAAGCGGCCGCCGGGTTCTCCTCCTGTCTTCAAGGCGCGCTACGTTGCTCGAGGCTTCAGTCAGCGAGAGGGAGTAGACTTCTTCCAGACCTTCTCCCCCACCCCGAAGATGACCACTCTTCGGGTGCTGCTGCACATAGCCGCTCAGCGCGACTACGAGCTTCACTCACTTGACTTCAGCACTGCTTTCTTGCAGGGCAGTCTGCACGAGGAGATCTGGCTACGCCGCCCTCCTGGCTTCACTGGGTCGTTCCCACCTGGTACCCAGTGGAGCCTCCGGCGGCCGGTCTACGGTCTCCGTCAGGCGCCGCGTGAGTGGCACGACACACTAAGGACTACTCTTGGGGCTCTTGGGTTCACTCCTTCAACTGCTGACCCGTCGCTGTTTCTATGCACTGACACCTCGTTGCCGCCGTTCTACATCCTCGTGTACGTCGACGACTTGGTCTTTGCCACTGCTGACACTGCGGCACTCGCCCACGTGAAGTCGGAGCTGCAGAAGAGACACACGTGCACAGACCTGGGTGAGCTGACAAGCTATCTTGGCTTGCGGATCACCCGGGACAGAGCACGGCGCACCATCACCTTGACTCAGTCACACATGGTGCAGCAGGTCCTTCAGCGCTTCCGCTTCACGTACTCCTCGCCTCAGTCCACTCCTCTGCCTACCGGTCACTCGCTCTCAGCTCTGCCTTTGGATGAGTCCGTAGAGCCGAGTGGCCCGTATCCAGAGCTTGTGGGCTGCCTCATGTACCTGATGACATGCACTCGACCTGACCTTGCATACCCTCTTAGCATCCTTGCACGCTATGTCGCTCCCGGCCGTCACCGGAAGGAGCACATGGATGCAGCTAAGAGAGTGTTGCGCTACTTGTGCAGTACGTCGGGCATGGGGCTAGTGCTTGGAGGGCGAGACCGAGTTGTTCTCACTGGGCACTCAGACGCTTCTTGGGCAGACGACCAGGCTACTCAGCGGTCGTCTCAGGGTTACACCTTCAGTCTTGGCTCTGGTTCAGTTTCTTGGCGTTCTACACGCTCTTCTTCTGTTCTCAGCTCCAGTTGTGAGGCTGAGATCTACGCCACAGCCATGGCGGCCCAGGAGCTACGCTGGCTCACCTACCTACTGACTGACTTGGGAGAGCGGCCTCGTTCTCCTCCAGTGCTGTACGTAGACAACAAGGCTGCCATTGCCTTGTGTGAGGAGCACAGACTGGAGCACAGAATGAAGCACATCGCTCTGCGCTACTTCCTTGCTCGAGAGCTGCAGTAGCGTGGTCAGCTTCGTCTGCGTTACGTGGCCACTGAGGCCAACACTGCTGATGTGTTCACCAAGGTGCTTCAGCCTTGTGACCATCAGCGCTTCTGTACTCTTCTAGGCCTTGTGCCTACTGGACCTCACTTGCTTACTTCTTGACTCTGCTTGTACTGTGATCTATATATATACTTGCATGTTTACTCTTGCTAGGTTGTGATCATTGTATCTCTTGTTATATTATCAAACTGCATGTGAACTGGTCTTGTGACCACTTGCTTGTGCTCGGAATTTGTGTGGTATCCTTGAGATCCACCCTGAGCTTGTTTTGCTTTGTCTTGACTGGTCTTGTGACCCCCCTGGTTGTCTCCCATTGCGCCTATGGGGGTGTGTCAAACATTGCATGTTTATGTTGTGTAGGCTGTAGTGGGTTTGACCTTAGGGGGTACACAAAGTTAGGGTTTCCTACTTGTACCCACCTTGCTGTTAGTTCATTCATTCCTGCTTCAGTTATTCTGACATTGACGACTTGCTGCCACTGCGCGACTTCCCACACAGCCTTTGCAGACGTTCTTCCTGTGTTGGAGCGACGTAGTTGGCCTTCGGAAAAAGTTTCGTTGGCCACTCAGACTCCTGCATGATCTCTTCCTGGATGATATCACTCGAGAGGGAGCCCTCGTTAAGCTGTGAGTGCACGCCAGGGAGAGCCAGCATCTGGCGCATTAAACTATAGGATATTGGAAGATCGTTTACGATGTGCGTGACGTAGGTCACTATC